ATGAATATTCAACAACTGATATCGAAAGAGTACAAAAGCCCAGTTTTCAAACAAGTTTTGTGTGTCTCTGGCGGGGCGCTGGCCCCCCAGGCCACCCAGCGCTGTTTGCTTTATTATCGCTTGCTTAATAAATTTATCAATTTTTAATTGGAACTGAGTTGTCTAAATTCTTAAACTAACTTATAACATCCTGTCCTGAGGGATGACATTATGACCTTAGGAAAACAACAATACAAAGCATTGTGAACCAAATATTACTGTTAAATAAATATATTAACTTTAACCAACTTTTAATACACCAACTAGGCCTTTGAGATCACTAAAAAGAATATAGTAGAGGGCAAGACCAGATTGGCCTCTGTACCTGCCATGAAGAAGATCTTTACCCTGCTGCTGGCTGCAAACCAATAGGCATGGGAAGTGGAGGCACATGCCATACTGGACCTCTACTTACTATGATAATGTTACAGCTAATTAGTACTGTTAAAAACAACTGTCCAAAATGTTATCACAATGTTTATTATAAATAATGTATAAATATGTGCCTTAAGGCACACAAATACATGAACAAAACATGCAATAATAAAAATGAACAAGAACTAGACTAAAATCAAACTGTCCAGAAAGCGAAAAGTGTGTAATAAATTTTACACTTCAGACTAATTCATTTTAAACCAATAACACAGTGGAAAATAACCCATATACCAATGCAAAAATTAGAAATCAATATTAGAAGCTAATTCATTAAAAACAAAACAAAACACAAAACCACAAAACCAACCACATAGTACAACCAGCTAAGTTTCCTTCTTTTGTACAACTTTGTTACACTGTTATTTCTATCTTGTTTAATTTCATGGTTTTTGAGATTAATCCTTAGTGTAATTCAAAGAATGCACCTGACCACCATACCGATGAATCGAAAAACCTACAGAAGATCATGGTCCTAGACCCCAACTCCAAGCAAGTAAAAAATAAAACCAGAGTATTGGAAGCACTAATGGAATGGGAACAATCCTGAAAAACAATGAAAACATCTAATGATTAGCTTGTAATAAAACCATGAGAAAAAGAAAAAGGGGGGATTGTGAGAAATAAATGAAACGGTTTTATTACAAGCAGGGTTTCCATGATTGCCTCATGATGAGGAGTTTGTGATCAGGGGTGTTCTACAGTTGCCTATGGCTGCAGTTCTGTTGCAGCCATGA